TACTAGTAGTAGGGCCAGGAGCCCCGTTTGTAGCATCCTTGTTACTAAGTAGTAAGGCCAGGAGCGCCCCGTTTGTAGCGTCATTGCTTCGTTGGAGTCGCGATGCCCTGGTAGCTCCGATCGGAGACGCGTCCGTCCGACCGGATGAGCCGCATGGCTTTTGTAAGACCGCTAGCGGCTCTTTCTTCGGCCTTCGACCGGAGAAGCACCATCAGCGTAGAATCAGCGTAGGCGTCAGTTGGGGGAGACAACAGCACTTCTCTGTCTGAAAGTGGTTTGAGGTCCAAAGCAATAAGGTGTTCCAGTCGTATGAAAATCAGTGAAAGTCCTTCATCTGAACCAACTCCAAAGCCCTTGACACTCCAGCCTGGATTTTTCCATGCCGGTCTCCCACCAGGTCTACTACAAGAACCAGAATCTCATGACTTCATGTCACAAGAACACAGATAACACAGCCATGAAGACGGTGGTTCAAACAATAAAGGGATGTAAAAAGAATCTGCACACCCACTTGACCCGTCCAACCCCCAAGCCGGTCTCCCACCATGTCCGCCTGGTCTGACTGCGCGTCAGATCGTTGGAGTTGGACGGGTCCGAGGTCCCCAGCTCCGACGGCACCTGCCACAGGTGCCGCAAACCCCGCCGGAGGCGACCGACGGACCGGGCACCGATCTCTTGGCTGAGATGGCGGAGATCCAAGGGCTGAAGCGCGTGCCAGGCACACGCACCACCCCTTGCTTCCATTCTGAGTCCAGGAATCCTCCTAGCCTCAACTCACTTCGCGTTCAATCCAACCGTTCTCATTCCTACACCCACACACATCACATTCTCGCACTTTCACCCAGAAAAGCCCGTGCCTGGCTCTCCAAGGAATCAGAAAGCACTCCCTCACTGAAGTCGGACGAGCGTGTCCGGAGACGGCTGAGCCGCTGCAGCGTTTGTTCCTCAGCCGCGGAGAAAAAACGCAAACGGCACATCTCCGAAGCGAGTCAGTCAGCAGGGGCTCCGGGCAGTCTTGACGGTTGAATATCTTTGACAAGGAGTTGAGAGCCAGACCTGGAAGAACCAGAGAACCCATCAATTCAACGGAAAATGAGAAAATGCACTGATTGCCAAGCAGGGCTTTCAGGACTTCTCATTCTCTCATCCTAATGACCTCGATCACTTGAAAAAATTACAAGATGTTTGCAAACTTTGCGTCCAAGCGTGAAACAACGATGAACGAGACAAGTGAGAGCTTCTCGAAATAATAGACAACTTTTAGTAAATTCTGCAGCCTCTCACACTCACATAAGGCGCATGCTCTGTAGCAAATCAGCCACAACAAGCTCAGGAACAAACCTCAGCTATCTGAGGTTGAGCTCTCAAGGAACAGCAACTAGGTTGGTGCGAAGGACCCTAAGCTTCCAGCCCATAAGAGTGAAGCTGGCATATGCGATCAAGTAGTTAGAATATTTCAAATTCACCTGCCAGGAGAAGGAGAAACACCACCCAATGCGCTCACTGCGCGCGCTGCTGTCAGAAGAATGTCAACCCAAATGAGTGAGGTCGTTTGAGGTATTTTGCAATTTGTTGCGGATTTTGAATTGAAGTCGCAGAACTTCCTGCCAAATCAAAAGCTGCTTCAATCTGTGGCCAGCAGAACACTTGGCAAAGAGGCCAGGATGATTCCATGGTAGGCCTCAGAATGGCGTGAGACCAGACGTCTGGCGTGAAAGTTTTGCAGACCCAGCCATGAACTTGCTTTTAAAACAAGAAGCATTCTCAATTGATCTCCAGAGGCTTTCTTGTCAGCTAAAAGCAAAAACAAGAGCAGCATCATGCCGTCCTTGTCCATACCCACTCCCAGTGCAGGACTTACACAGGACTGTGCAGAAGCTGCAATAATTGCATGTGACCGGTACAGTATATAGTGCTTCAGAAGGCCTGCATTAGGGTTACAAAAAATGCAAAAAAACTTGTCTCAGTTACTAACACTTACTAGTCTTTAACAAGACCTTTGTAGATCTTACAATTTCAGATTAAGGCATTGCCCCTTCAAATCTAGCTACCTCAATAAGCCCTATATCTCTTATGTTTTGCCCACCCCTGATTTGCCCCCAGGGTCTTATGATAAAACTCACATAGAAACTCGTCTATAGACCACCCCTCGTCAAAAAAAAACATCTTCCAAACACCGACTTTGGCAGTGTCCATTGGATCGAAAAAAAGAACCATTAGGACCACTCTTTTTGGACCAAAAAGCCCTCATTGAGAGCTGAATAGTGTGGAAAACTGTCTCTGTGGGCTGTTGAGATGCAAAACGGTAAAACATCCAGACCTGTTTTGAAGGGATTGGGATGTGTGTGGGAGAGGTTTTGAAATACTAGGGACCAAACGAGATCGTCTAGAGTCTAGACACCTCGCAGGCTGCCCCACTGCCCACCTATCCTCGTTTGAAACTGCTTTGCTCATCCAGGAGCATTCGAGACAGCCAGTTCGATCACGAGGATCACAAAGGGAATCGCCAGGGTGATCATGGCCTCAAACAAAAAGGGATCCCGATCTTCGTTCGCATGCCGATCTTGTAGCACGCCACCAATAACCTTCCCACTCTGTACCCTGCCCTCGCCCTCTCAGAGAAGTTCTGAATGGCCATAGATCAAGAGAAAAACCGAAACAAATCCACAACAAGGCAACACAGAACAAAACAAGATCTAAGCACAATTCGATTGAGCATTTCTCCTACCAATAGATCTTCAAAGAAACATCTAGGCCCCCAATCCAGTTCTTCCCGCTTCGGGGCCCCGACCTTGGGGATGCTATCCAGTTCTTGGCGGATGTTGACTTTGTCCAATGAGACCACCGCACACTGCCACCACGACGGTTCGGCCGTCAGACGGCGGGACAGACGGCAAGGTCCAGGTGGATGTTCGGCAAATGTCTAAAAAAAGATCAGTGTGAGATGCATGTGCTTGCTTTCTCGGTCAGTTACTCCGAATGTGTGTCCAAACAAAGATTCTGCTTTTGGTGCATCTGGTAGTGCTCCCTGAAAATTTGTCTCCTCGTCGTTACTCTTTTGGGGAGTTCTCTAGTTGCCCACATAGCTGTGGGTCAACAGAAATGATCTGTTCCACTCCTCCATTGGCTTCGTGTCAAGTGCGGGATCCAATGCAGCACCGGCTCGACTCCAAAGACTGTGCTCAAAGAGCAGTGGATTCAACAGCGTACAAAAGGTGTCCGATTTCGAGTGGTGCCGTTTACAATTTGGAGCAGTTCAGAACAACCCTTCTGTATCTTGGGTGAAGAGATTTCGGAACCCTCTCATAGCACACACTTGAGATCTGTCATATCTAGCTAATCTAGCTGGTCTAGCTGTTTTCCGTTTCGGTTTGGCCCCAGTCTCACAGATCACCTCGAGCACCTCAGTCAGGGTGTTGGTCGCACCTGCCGCGATGCACCGGATCCACCGCTGAATTTGCGTCGATCTGCAGTGGTGGGATTCCCTCTTTGACTGGCTGGAAAAGTTCGTGCTTTCCTCGCCACGAACACATCGGCTGGGCAGACTTGGGAGATCCGGGCTTTCCGGTTTCCTGTCTCAAAATTTGGGGGGTTCCGTGGGGATGCTCCTTCCAGAACCACAGGGGTTGCCGGGGTTGTGCGGCTTCCCAGTTGAACGGCCGCTTTTACCGTCACTTCGACCCGCCGCACCAGCCTACCAAGGACTCCAGCAAGAGCTCGGCGCGATCGTTGAACTGGGACAGCCAGTCAAGGGAAGTTGCTTAACATCTTTGTTACTTAATCTCTTAGTAACTCTCAATTTCACCGAGGCTGGCCGGTGACTGCAGCCGGCGCCGGCTTTTGCCATCTCGTCCCGTCACGTGAACTCCAAGAGTCGGGCCGTATCGTCCAAGCGCTCGAACGAGGACAGCACTTGATTCACCTGCCGCGTGGACCCCGGTGAACTCACCGAGGCCGCGGAGTGCGGAGTCACCGAGGTCCACGGTGACCGCAAAAGAGGACGCAAAACAGGAGGGACCGTGCGTGGTGTCCAGCTTTGAGCACCTTGGTGTTGCTGGTGCGGTTGAACTCCATCATCTTCTGAACGTGCTCATCGATGAGGTCGAACTTGCTGTTGATGCCCTGAAGAGTGGGAAGACCCTAGCCCTCTCAAAGGCGGAGATACGTCTTTGTACATTTGTCTGTAGTGTCCAATGGCCACTCCCATGCTGCGCCAATGGCCCAGTTAAGGTCACTAAGAACCACTCGCATGGCGTTGCGGTGCATGGCGTTGTTTCTTTATCAAACGGAGACGTGCAGAGCTGTCGTTGGTGCCTGGATCGCCCTGGCACTTCCGTTTAGAGCTTTGCTGATCCGCTTCACCTGGGCGGGATCTGGATGCTTCAAACAGAGACACAACTGAGATGTCTGGCAGAGATCTACAACTCCAACCTCTCAATGGATTCTTAAGCTCTTTGGATCGGTCGCAGCCTTGGCCATCATCGCTCGGTCCCGCCTGGTCCTCTTCCATCGAGTGTTTTACCCCCATGGTGCCGCAGGTAGACAAGAGCCTGAGCCGCAGTTTGCTGCTGTGGATTTCATTTACAAGGCAGAGCGCACCATGGGTTCAGTTTGGCCCCAAAAGCAGTCCGCTCACTTTTTCATCATGTTACTGCCTTGCAGTTTTTAGGTTTCGCGACGTTGCAAGCTGCTCATGGTCAACCTGATTACCAGGTTCAATTAAAAGTTGAGCTCCTGTCCGATCCTGGATCGGAGGTCAGGGGATTGCCTGCACGTCTGCGCTCTCTCATGCCACCCTCCTGAATTCCATCCAGGGGCAACAAACCCAGGGCTTTCTCCGGGCGAAAACCTTTCAAATACAGCCACACTTTTTGGGTGCCTTGTATTAGGTGCAAAGTGGCCTCCTCGGCAATCATCCATCCACTTTGACCAGGCAACTGGAAGGTCATCCGCTTTAGCTTCTTGATTTGAATTTGCGGATCCTGCGAGCCCCTCTCAACAAACCTTCTAATGCTTGAGCCAATCTTCTCCCAATCGCTGGGTTTCAGGAGCTTGTGCAAGCTGGGCATTGTAGAGCGGAAGGTAGACATCGAACGATCCCTGTCCTCTTTCCGCTCAAAGTTCACGTGTGCCCGTTGCACATCCTGGAATTCTGTGCTTGTATCAACAAGCAAGGTGATCTCCTGCAGTTCCGGACAAGGGTTCTGGAAACGTGAGCTTCTCCCTGTGCTTCCCGAGACCGTGGACATGCTAGGGTTTGCTTCGCAAGGGCTCGGAGACCGGTCCCAAGCATTCACAAGCTCGGAGGGCACAGCATCATTCTGAGCTTCAGGTGGTGGACGTGGATCTGAATCCTCTTTGAAAGCAATCAAATGGTAGGGATCACTGGAACCAAAAAGACCTGGTACAGCCACATGGTAAATATCTGCAGCAACCTGTATGCCTGCAGGGGAATCTTATAAACATGAAGGATAAAATGATTAAAATGATGCATCGCATTTGTCAACCCTTTCAACTTGCTTAGGGATCGCGAGCTCATACCATGCTACCCAAACCCAGAAGTACCATGGAATGGAACCCAAGATTAATTGACTTCTGGAAATCTGCACTTCGTCGGCGTCCCATCTGTACAGCGCACCCCCATCTCTCGGAAGGGGAAAACGCCAAACCAATGGCTTTGTTGGCTAGTTTCCCTTCTACTAGGAGCAAAGGGCATCGCTACTAGGAGCAAGGGCCTTACTACTAGGAACAAGAAGCCAGTAGAAACAACAAGTAGCTATAGACTTTAATTAGACTTTGATTTAAAAGCTTTCAGACACAACTCTTGCCTGCTGATCCACGAAACGACACTCGCAGGCACAGGGGGACAGAGAGCCTCGACTCCGTGGATTCGGACACATCCGCCGTGGAGGAATTAATGAATTCCTCGGTGATCGGTAGCTGGCAGTGAAATGCCTAGGGATAGACTCCAAGTCTAGTGGGTGAGAGACCAGAAAAAAATATTTAACGTATCAATAAAAAAATATATACACGCATCAATAAAAAAAATACTGACTCAAAAAAAATATTCCAAATAGCAGTAGCAGTAAGAGTAGCAACAGTCTATAATAGCAGCAGTATCGTAGTGGTAGTCGTAGTGTTTCTTGGCAGGTGCAGTACTTTGTGGACCTTGCAATGCACATTTCGTGGCAGGTGCAGGACTTTGTGGATGTTGAAGTGCAGAGTTGGTGGCCAGTGGCAGGCGCAGGATTTTTTGTGGACCTTGAAGTGCAGATTTCGTGGCAGGTGTAGTACTTTGTGGCCCTTGGAGTGCAGATTTCGTGGCAAGCGCAGGACTTTGTGGACCTTGAAGTGCAGATTTCGTGGCAGGTGCAGGACTTTGTGGCCCTTGGAGTGCAGATTTCGTGGCGGGCGCAGGACTTTGTGGACCTTGAAGTGCAGATTTCGTGGCAGGTGCAGGACTTTGTGGATGTGGAAGTGCAGAGTTGGTGGCCGGTGCAGGACTTTGTGGGCCTTGGAGTGCAGATTTCGTGGCAGGCGCAAGACTTTTTGATGTGGAAGTGTAGAGTTGGTGGCAGGTGCAGGACTTTGTGGGCCTTGGAGTGCAGATTTGGTGGCAGGCGCAAGACTTTGTGGACCTTGAAGTGCAGATTTCGTGGCAGGTGTAGTACTTTGTGGATGTTGAACTGCAGATAGACAGATACAAAAATAGAAAGATAAATGGATCGATAGATAGATAGATAGATAGATAAATAGATAGATAGATAGATAGAGAGATAGAGGAGGCATATTTGCTTGGTTAGAGAATTTTGCACCGGGGAGTTCACCTCAAAATATTGATTTCGTGGCAGGCGCGGGTGTCGGGGATGAAGTGCAGATTTCGTGGCCCGGGGGGGGGGTTGGGGGGGGGGGCGCAGCGGCCCCCCCAGCAGCACACCAGATCCAAAGGTGAGCAGCTCGTGCTTGCTTGCTTGCTTCCTTGTTTGGTTTCGTCTCTGCAAAGCGAACAAAAGGAAAAGCAAAAGTAAAAAAGAGAAAGGAGAACAGCTGCGAAAAAGAAAGAAAGAAAGAAAGAAAGACGAAGGACCAGAGGACCAAGGGACTAGCGGACCAGTGGACCAGCGGACTGCAGGGGACCAGCGGACCAGGACCAGCGGACCAGAGGACCAGCGGACCAGGGGACCGGAGGACCAGGGGACCAGCGGACCAGAGGACCGGCCACCTACACGACTGGGAATTCCAAGGGATTTCATCGCACAATGAATATTTTGTTTGATTCAGTAAATATTTATTGTTTGATTCGGTAAATATTTTTTTTGATTCGATAAATATTGTTTTTTGATACCTATGCCAAGTCTAGTCTGGGTCTTCTAAAGAGGTCCAGTCTAAAGGTCTGAAAAAGCTAAGTCTAAAGGTCTAAAGAAAAAAGGAATCGAAGGGTCTAAAGAAAAAGCTGGATGCAAGAGTCTAAAGGTCTTCTTTAAAAAAGGGATTGGTGGCTGGCCCCCTAGAAACACCTAGGGCCTAGGGATAGACTCCGATCCTCACGGTCATGACGTCCCTTGTTGTGCTTCTGTTTTGCCAAAACGGGCAAAAAGGAACTCATTGGACCACGCATGTCTTACAAGCCCCATCGCGGCCCGCGGCTCCAATGCCGGATGAACGTGTGCAACAGTTGAGAGATTCGCGTCAACTGCTGCGGCTTAGCAAACGACGTGAGAGTATGTTTGACTCCCAAAAGCCAAATTTTGCATGTCATCTAGATATATCTAGATACCTTAGATACCTTGGCTGCAGGAAATCCAGTGGCAGGGCCTTTCAGGATCAAAAAACGATACTTCCGCCCCAAACGCAACAGACTGTGGTCCAAGTGGGGAAAAACGGTGGTCCTCAACTGGATCCCAGGATTCCCTGAAGCGTGGCCCATCCTGATCCACCAGCAAATGTGGAAAAGATCGGCCCTTCAGACTCACATTCGTCAAGATCAAATGCTGTAAGCACTGGCTCTCCTGCGGGCGCGACGAGGAAGACAGAGGAGGACAGTTGGATACTTGGTGACATATGAAGACATCTGGGTCGTGGCACGCTGACATCTGTGGGGAAGACAGAAGAGAAAGAACCCTAGCGATGTGAAGCGATCACGTGGGTACCCAAACATACTCGTTTGGGAAGACCATGCCTTCACGAATCTAACATCTTTCGATCAACGGCTGGTCAAAAGATGCCCAATCAATCCACACAGGATTTGCTATCTGTTCTCTTTTCAAATATTCTACCGTCATGTCAACGGCTGGTGTTTGACCCCCGACATCTCGTGCTCAGCCCTTCTCCTGGGCAACCTTCATCTGGCTGTCCAGTAGAACTTCCCCGTCACATGCTCCCCTCAGTACCCGGCGGAAGCTACACACCAATGACTCTGCATCGGTGGTGTCAAGGAGAGCATCAAATCGGCCCCGCAGAAGCCAGTCAACGATCAAGGAGCATGCAGTGGTGGTGGTGAGGATGAAGAAATGGCTGACACATAGCCCCGAAAGAGCCGCACCCGAATGGTCGAACACAAGGAGGAACGCGGACCTCATAGTTTTGAAGAACGCTGTAGTGCTTCTTCAAATTCAGGCAGTTCCCACCAAGACATTTTACTTCTCACTTTATTGGGAAAAAGGTTCAAAGCACGGTCTCTAGAAAACCATATCGCCAAGAAACATGTCCATTGCTGTGTACAGAAACTGGAAAGGGATAGTGATCCATGGATCTAAAAACAGGACGACTGCGCAAAAGCGAATCGCGACCTGAAAGCCTTGCATCATTGCAAATTTCAAGGAGTCCGTGCCGTTGGCAGCGGTGCTGATAATTTGCAGGGCCAACATCACATGCATGGTGCAGGAAAGAAACTTGAGTCTACCTGCCGTCAATTCCACCAGCTCGTGCCCCACCATCAGGTGTTGTGCGTAGCCGAAGATGCAAAATATAGCTGCTGCAAACGTGTCAAAGCCTGGAACTGCGACGGCTTCATGGATCAAGCCACAAATGGTCAACAAGTTGATGTGGCACACGCAGCGGCTGACACACTTGTAGTTCCTCTGGCGAAGATTCAACAGTTCCTCTTCAATCCTGGTTGCCCTCGCTTCCTTACGTTCATCCTGGAGGGCAATCTCAACAAAGTCAACAAAGAACTACCCCTTCACAATGACGGAGTTAAATCTGGGTTCTAACAGGAATGTGACAACACATGAGAGCATGGAGAGTGGTGTGCTAGCTGTAGCCACTAGTCACTAGCTGCAGGACCCATGTATTGGCTCAGTTCAGGATGGACCCTGCTTTATATGTCTATGGTATCCGAGTTTGCAGGGTTCCGTTCACAATGGATGAATTTAATTAGGGATGGGCAAGGGTACTGTACACTCATCAAACCCTTGATGGTTCCTGGCCCCAAGTACCGATGTCCTTTTTTGGATGACAGTTCATGACCATCCCTCACATCACCATCCCTTGTCATAACACATCTGCATCTGCACTGGCAAATCTGGCCTGTACCTCCCGCTCTGTCATGGAGGAAATCCATTGTCTCAGGTCCACAAAATCGCTGAAGGTGAGGCTCACATGTATGGGCACCCATAGAAGTGCCAAACCCGCCACCACGAGCACAGCATCCATGGCTTCAGAAAGGTTGAAAAATACGGATGAAAAAGCTCTTGCACGACTGGGTCTTGCTGAGACTGGTGCAGTCAGTCGGAACTGCCAAACTTAGATAATCTTCAGTCTGGATGGCTGTAGGTCTTAGACCAGCGCAATCTTCGATGTTTTTATTGGTTTTGATTGAAGGAGAACGCTCAAAATGGCTGTGTGATCATCACCCACTCAAAGAGTCTTTCTTCCTCATTCCCGTGTCGTGCCCAGGCGTTTCTGGTGCCGCATGAAATATATCTGTGGCTCTTCTCTGGGTCCTTTTGGCCTCTCCGCTTTGAAGAATGCCAGTATCAAAAATCAGGGCTTCAAATTGGCCAGAGTCCATTGGATTCCTTGTAAAAATGTAAATAAGCGTAGACAAAAGATCTACAATCTACACACACAGTTGACAGAAGCTATCACTGTCTGAAGCGGGCGACGTAGAAAATGCTCACTGTCTCAAGTGACCCCGGCGTGATCTGTGCTGGTTTAGCTCGGGCTATGGGGTTCCCCCGAGGCACCTGCGTGGTAAAACGGTAAAATCAAAAATAGTATTTTTCCGGGGTCGGTCGCCCTATATTTCTACCAGGTAAAACGGTAAAAAGCAAAATGTTTATATTTTAGTGTTTTTCCTGGCATCCCCTTTTTAAAACTATACGTGCGGTGCAAATATTGATTTGTTTGTAACCTCTTTTCCAGGGTTGTTTAAGGATCCGCGCGATCCAATGTTTGAACTAACTCGCTTTCGTTTCAATATAACCCTTTCGCTTTAAGTCTGACCTATTGGTTACAGAGGGTTCCTCTTGCTTTAAACCTATCCTTTAGCTTTAAGTTCTGCTTTCTATCTGTTCGTTTCAAGACACACGTCTTCTCATCTCATTTCCAAGTCTCTCCGCAGCTATAAACTCTACCGATAGGCGTGGTAAAAGCACTGTTTATTGTGTGTTGTTTGCCAGGTCTGATGGCCAAATTGCCCCTACCAAAGGCACGGTAAAAACAATAAAAATAGTCTATCCGTTTTTTCCGCATGTGCGTTTTAAAAAATGTTGTAAGAATCATGCTGTTCTTCTTTCGGGTCAGTCCCCTTTACTTTCTAACCACACGCGCGGTAAAAACCGTAAAATGGAAATGTTTTGTCGTTTACCGTTTTCTCTGCGTGGGCACGACCGGGTATCCCTTAGCAGAACAATGCACACGAACCGGCTTAGGGCAGGATATATAATGATGTATAATACATACACATACTTATCGCTCGTTGCCAAGGGCTCGTTGCCAAGGGGACATGTTCATCACTGAGCACTCATGAGAATCACAATAAAAACAGGGTTTGGATCCACTTTTTACCCTTCAGACCAACGTAGAGGACGGTGTTGGCATTCACGTTCTATGACATTAGGATCAGCAGCGTGCACATAAATGCCCAAGCTACCACCAAGGGCAGCGCTTCCCCCAGCCCTCCCCAGAACGCCTTCAGAGGTATTCAGATCTCAAGCCAGCTCGGTTGGGATGCTCGGATGCGCTTGACTCAATGTCTTTGTACTAATTATGTGATCTACCATGGAAAGACTACAGCCTTTTGCAATTTTGCAAGTTTTGTCCTGGGATGCTTGTCTGCTGATTTGTCGTAGCTTCTGCTGCGCTGACCATCCTTTGCTCCAAATTCTGCAATGTACCTGATTGCGACCAAGCCCAGCAGTGGAACAAGCTGAAGGAATCTGTGATCAAGTCCATCAACTTGCCCCATGCTATCCGGCTCCTATGGGGCTGGAACCCACTGCCGGCACTCAATTCATAGTTGCAGGATATAAGTTCCTGGGGGTTCTTCTCAATGCCCCGAACTCCGATTGCAATTCAGAATCTTAAAGGTCTGATTCCTCATCCAGTGCTTCCGGCCGCCTCTATGAACAGTCCCTCTTAAAGTCCCACAGCTCATCCCCAAATCTCCAGTTCAGGAAGCCATGCCTGCAACCAACATTCCACCTCCCAAATTATATTGAAGAAACAAAAGCGACATTTCTATGCCCAGAAGTTCAGAGACCAAAGCACATGGAATTGACCCATCGGCTTGTGCCGAAGTTCCCCCCTCTCAACGGCCCCAACACCTCCACGCGGCTCTCGCAGCCTTTTCACGTCGCTTCACGCGGCGTTCTCGGACGCGGACGCATCCGCGTCCCCCGCCGAGGCTGTACACCGCCGAGGCTCGGTGTCGACCGGCTCGGGGTCACATCACCCACCATGGGGTCAGTGGCTTGGACTGTTTCGAGCCGTTTGGTGGAAAGAGCGCCACTGGCGGGTTGGCGGGTTGAGATGCTTTCGGTTGGGTTAGCAGGCTACCATGCACAAAAGCTTTTACTGCAGCCCTAGAAAAAGAGCCATGCTCCTTTGTACGTAAATGTGTCGATGATTCGATGATCAAAGGTCACTTAGAATTCAGTCAAGTTGGTGAAATAGATCACGGCTATTACTACACTGTGTATATATATATATACATATATATATTAGTTATTAGTATTTCTTTTTGGTGTGCCGGGACAGCACTGTGCTCGAGTTACGATGTAGCCACTGGGCGTGCCGCGCAACTCGCTCCTACACATAGCCGGTCAACAGGGAACAGAGAGCCCCTAGTAGCGTCCTTGCTCCTAGTAGCATGCCAGGAGCCGCTAGTAGCTTCTAGTTCCTAGTACTAAGGCCAGGAGGCCCTAGTAGCGTCCTTTGCTCCTAGTAGCGATGCCAGTGCCTGCTTTGGACCTTGGTTCTTCTTATTATCATTGCGTCTCATTCTACACAGGTCTCTCTTATGCTGCCACAGAAGCTCTTGAATCACGATTCAGTCAGGTCAGGCATCTTTGCTGCCATCTCCGCAATTTTGCCTTGAAACAAAGCTGGAGTATACCAGACCCTAATTCCGAAACGTTCCTCTCTCAAAACTGCTTTGTTGAAGACATCTCTGGCAGTGGTACAAGAACAAGGCAATAGCAAGTGAGGGACTCAAGCATAACTGGAGGGATCCTTAGGTCTGCTTTATCACGTTTACTTTGGGCTCCCACTGCGGTCAAACGCCGAAGCGGGTAGTGTCTTGCGCCGAGCAGGAAGACGATGTGAAGGTGCTGGCGGAGAACATGGCTGTCGGAGCGGAGACGAATCACGCGTTCTGTGCTCCGCTCGTTGGACTAAGAACGACGGTTTTCTGTTGGACTAAGATCCCCCATTCGATTCAATCCCAATTTTCATATCCTCGTCTCGAGAATCAACTTCTGTTGCAGCTAAGTCACGTTGCCCAAGCCTTGGTAGTGCTCAAGACCAAAACTGCCGCCGACTCAACACAGAACTTAAGGCTGTTAGCTTACTCAATTCCAGCCAGGAGGCATCATGGTCAGCTTCTGCTCAATCCGGGCCTCGCATCGACGCAGAAAAGAGTCGTGCTGATACAGCTGAAACTGGCACGATCGCTGCAATACGACGGATATCGCCACTTTTCGCTCTGTTGCCTTCCTCTTTTTTGGTTTCTCCATGCGTATGTGAATGTATGATATAGATACACGCGATCCGGACTTATATAATCTCAAAGGCTCTTCAAAACTTGCAGATGTCTTGGAGAGCTATGAGGACCGACTCCGCCTGCATTGAGGAAGGGGATCCAGATGCACGTTGCGGGCTTGCGCCACCAGACTTCGAACCACCCCAGACCTCACAGGCCGGTGCGGTCGGTGCGATCGGAGAGAAACCGTGGGCATCGGAAAGCATCGGAAAACCATCGGACATGGGAGGCTCCCTTCCGACTCCCGTCCGACGGACGGAGTAGACGGACGGAGTAACCTTAGGCACCACACGATGGTAAAAGAAAGATGCAGCGAATCTTTGCCAGCCATGAGTTCATACAGAATTTCTTATTTGCTGCTTCAAGAATCCTCAAAGGACCTAGATCACTCAGAATGTTCCACCCCACACTCCTACTCATTAACAATTGCTCACTCAGATCTCCCTGCCCAACCCAGCGGCATGGTTTCTCCGCCTGCGCAGGAGCTCCTTTGCCTTTCGGCGATTTCGGGTCGCCTTCGGGCATTTCTCGTACCTACGCAAGTTCGCCACGCGAGGAATACGGCCACACGTCAGTGCAGTGGAAAGAGTCATACAGTGAGGGATGCCATTTCATGGATTGATGCGCTTTTGCCTCTTGCCGTCAAGCTGGCTGAATGCGGTTTCAAACAATCATTGGGCTTCAGAGGGAAGTGAATCCAAAGCCTCAAACCCTCCATGCTCCATGAAACCTGCGACTGTGGCACTGTTGTAAGCACAAAAGTGGGCTCTGCATTGGCCACCGGTGTTCAGAACAGCAACAAGTTCACCATGGCATCAGAGCTCCGCCTTGGTGACTTCGATCTTCAGTTTGTCCTTCCAGTCCGCCTGAGCATGGCTGCGGGACGGTGACCCCAATACCAAACGGACGAGTGAGGTAAGTCAGGCACCAACTTGCTGCGATCTGCGAAACTTCGGCATGGCCTTTGGTTGGGGACAACATGATCTGTATCCCTTTCAAATGTCCCATTAATGGCCTGCCAGTTGGGGTCGCAAGAACCTCGTTCTGTGTCCCAAGTCGGTCCGCAAAAAACAGAATATGCGCGGCGTGCCACACAAGCAGCTTGGCAGAAGGTGAGACTCAGAATGGTCACAAGGGAGAGATGTACTGAATCTGGAACTTTTTGCCAAATTGAGATGTACTTTACTCCAAACTTCAAACTTCCATAGTAAAGTCTCCAATGTTCGCCTTCCACCACCCAGCCAGTCCAAACAAGTGTGCAAATTCGCAGGTGAACTGGAGCAAGTATCCCAACTTGCCAGCTACCGTAAAGCAAAACGCACTTCATGTCCATGTCCTCCAGTTCCCCACAATCTCTTCACTTTCGCTGATTGGCAGCCCGTGACAGGTCCGCCTTGTTGGCTCTCGTCCTGCCCACTCCCAAGTTTCGTTGTTCTCCACCTTGCTGGGCCTGGCAATGCTGCCAAGACCAAATTCTCGAAAGAGTGCCAAATGGAAGGGAGGCTTATGAATGCAGCCTCTTGCTCCCCGAACGCATTCTTCCAAGAGGTTGAAGAAGAAGGAAGAGAAGAAGAAGAAGAAGGAGAAGAAGAAGAAGAAGTTCGGTAGTACCTTAGGGACTTGTTTTTCACAGGTTTTCGGGTACCAAGGCCTTCTAGTTGGATGCTGACTAGGAAATGTGTCTATCGATGCTCTAGTTTGTTAGGCCTTTGCCAAAATGATGACTACTATCTCTCCATCAGTACAGGGTGTCCCAAAGCTTATAGTATTTGAGTGGAGTGCACCTTCCACTGGAAGTGGACTGTCCAACGACCAACCGTTCACAGGTCCTGTGGAGATACAGCACCCTGCTCAAATGACATTTCCCTTGATGCGTACATAAACGATGGTGGTGGTGAGGAGACGTCACACCCATGCGGTGAACATGAGAATCGGTGATTGGAAAACCGAAAGGCGCCAGTTCCTCAAAGGCAAATCCGACGAGTTTCGAACATCATCCCTTTCACGTTGGGAGACGTTGCCCCAAAACATGCCATGATTCGCAAAACTGCCTGGAACCAACATCCAAGCTCCCAAGAATGCCGGAATTCATCAGATGTGCCACGGACCGGCCACGGATTTCGGCTGCACCTGGCCCCCTCGACCGCGAGCGGAGCGGGGGCTGAGCATCGGCCTGGCATGCTCTGCCCTGGACCGGTGGTGACCCAGAGTGTCAGATGGCAAGGAAGCTAAAGAGACCTGGAGAACACACACGTAGGAGAAGATGAAACCCTTGCGTTTTTCACACATACTGAATTACCGCGACAACCTTCGGATACTTTCAGTGAGAGATACCTGATCAAAATGGTGCAGGATACCAATGACTTCACCTCCAAACTCACTCACTCCTCGGCAGCTGTGGTTCCTGTGCTCTTTCTAACCAAACAAAGTTGCCAGAAATCTACAGGTTGATTGGACCAGGACCGCCAGCAGTCCTGTTTGACAGACTTGAGCGACAGGTCCTTGTGCCACCCAAACAAAAGCGTACAAAAAAAAACAGTTTGCAGAAAAACGGCTGCCGGTCAGATGCTGACATCCTAACCCAATGCACAAGAAGGACAACAGGGTCAAAACACACAAACTCACCTGAAGACTTCCGTGTGACAAGCTTGGCCCATGCCTGACTGCTTCTCGTGCCTGCAAAAAAAAATGGCGCGAGAAAGGCAGCACAGAGTTGCAGCGAAACTCCCCTCTGTTCATCCTAGTTTCTTCTGGTCCCACTCAGGCCAATGAGCATTCAATATAGTGATGTGCAAGCGTCTATGCCACAACCTAGTTGAACATCCCCCACAGTTCATTAAAAAAAACTGCAGTACTTGGGTTTCGCATTGCACTTGTGGTGGCCTTAGCATTTTGAGCTCATTGCAGGGATGACATACCAGGAGAGCACACGTTTAAAGACACTGACACTATCTAATTAAAGTAACGCTTGTCGGGACACCCCTGAATACAGTTTCTCTTTGGTTTGAATTGCCCAAGTTACTGTACACCCAAATAAAGTTTGGGTGCGATTCGTTCAATTGGGTACCCACTAGAATCACCATCGATCATGCCACTCACCAGCAACACACCACCCCAAACCGCGCGCATGTGTTGCCACCGGCCTCACCAAACCGAATGGCACAGCGACATCATCTCTTGAAATCTTTAATTGTTCCATTAGGCTGATGGAAACTGTATCATCAAGTCCCTAAAGGATGTTCTGTAAAATTGCACTAGGCGATTTTTCGTTTTTGAAGCTCCTCCAAGGTTCCCAATTTTGCAGGAGTTTACTATTTGGGGACCCCCTATCTAGAAGAACTTAAAGAGGTGGAAGGGATCAGTCACTGCGTGAAACAAGATGAGACGAGACCGTTCCGTGATTGGGAATTCAGTGTGAAGAGTTTCTACTGTTCACCGTCCATCATCTGGTCATTTCAGACCTCCAACCTAATACGTAGCAAAAGGAACCTAGTAGCGATGGCCTCCAACGTAAGAGCGATGGCCTCCAACCTAGTAGCGATAAGTAATTTCATATTGTTGCGATCCGTTTCGCTGCGCCTGTTCCACCATTTTCAGCGGCTTCAAGGGCACGATCTTTGCATCGCGCACGTCATGCTGCGTGTCTGGCGGAACAAGTCGAGCGTGTCAGTGGACCCAATTGAGCAAGGTTTCTTCAACCGAGGTGTGATGTGATGTCTGGATTGGCAGCACCTGGTTGACCCGCTCAAGTGAAAACCCTAGGTCCCCCAAAACCTTCATGCTTAACACTGCCATGCTCCAATGCTCATCAAGTCGGAAGGACGGTCCTGTATCGTGGCAGCATCAGTCACTGGAACATTAAGGAGTCATTCAAGGCTCTCGAATCATTCGGGAGGAGGAAAGACATTCATTACAGTACATGGAAGCATCAGGTGACCTGAGAGGTGCTGGATTCAGCTCTTGCATTAAAAAAGAAAAACAAACGATGCGTTCTCTTTGGCACAAGGTGACCAATTCGTTCGGTGCGTCGTGCGCCATCCACTAGCCGGTTGCCCCACAGTGTGGGTTCCTTTCAGCTGCCGTTTCTAATAGCTTCTTGTTACTACTAGTAAGGCACTTGTTACTACTAGCGTGGCACTTGTTACTAGGTTTAATTCAATCTACGCCCCCTACAACAGCTCCGAACTGCGGCTGTTCAGAATTTCTCGTCGAACTGGGCCTTTCATTACACTGCTCTCGGAAGATGGTGCCAGGAAGACAGGCTTCCTTGCAGTTTGGAGTCAATATCCTATTTCATGGAAGTAGACCCGTCAGACTCCTTGGAGCAGCGACCTGCCTGCACTGCCACTGCCTGCGCTGCCCGCGCTGCCTGTGCTGCCTGCACTCTGCACATCCCTGGCCTCAAGGCTGATCGCTTGAAAAATCCGGGAAAAGAAATCATGTCATCACATGTCATCTGTTTGCCCCCAGTTCCAACGCCAGATCCCACATTACTAGGTCAACCATGATTTTGTCCTGCACGGAGTCGATGTAGGGGAGGACTTCAAAGACTTCACCTCATCGCATCCTACCTTCCTCGACTCGTGCTTGACTGGCTGAGCTGTCTGTAAAATCCAGGATCACTCAGCCAGTCTTGGACAAAGTGGACCCTGGTGACGCAGCAAATTGGGGCTCCGAAAGGGAATCCGGTTGGGACGAGATCATACTGTCAATCATGTCATAACAAAGCTAGTACTTGGGTTTTTCCTATTGACACTCCAATGTGGATCCTCACTTCCAACTCTTGGCCTGAATTGAGACGTGCAGTCAGAGCAGTGAAATCGAAACGCTGAAGTTTCCTCAAACGAAACGATTGATCTACCCGAGAAATCTGGTCTTTCAGATATGTGAAATCTGTGTGGTATCTCCTCACAGGTGACCAGTTCCAAAAAAATCATTCAACACCCTCAAAGCCTGCACAAGCCGCCCAATCCATGCCCTACAAATCTGCCTTCAGCATGTCGGTGAGCTTCAGCAACTGGCAGAGAACACGTTCTGCAAATGTGCATGTGTTGGTCAATTCACCCACTTTGTGTACATGTTACATAGACCTGTCCGAAATCAAGGGGCAATTCGCTATAGTTACTATGGATTCCAACAACTTGCATCTGGCAGGACCGTGCAGGACCTTGCAGGTCTTTCGCATCTTCCACTCCCCCTTTCCAAACGCCCACCCAAAAGGGTTTCGCTTCGCAAAGGGGGCCAGCTTCAATGCATGCGAAGCAGCTCCAACCTACCCGCTTCGCACGTCACGTTGGAGCTGCTCCAACCTCTTCGGTCGCTGCATCCAAACGGCTCTCGACGGTCGAACACCTGCACCGCATGCCACGCAGGGAGATCAGAGGCGGCAAACTGCATATGGCCCAAAGGAACTCAATGATCTGTTTGGATTGCGTCGAGTGCGTCTCTTTAAGTCAGAATCAATCGAGCCAAAGCCGCATGAGCATGCCTCGGCCCTCCAATTTGGCCAGGTCTTGAAACTCAGCCAAAAAAAGAAAGCGGACAAGAGCTGAACCCGACTGCGCCTTCCTCCTTGATCCAGAGTTGTAGAGCTGGACTGCAAAGAGCATCCCACTCAATCTTGTTGGCTGAATGTTTGAGGAAGAATGCAAACGGGAAAGGAATCGAATACCCTCTTCTGGCAAGTTGTTGCCTGTCTCGTGCTTCATAACGTCCACATCACCCATTCACCCCGGCTGGCCTGCACTTCGGACTGGCTTTCACTGCCTAGTCGTCCAATTCCGCACGAGTCGGAGTCATATGGGTCATGAGGGCCGCTTTCATCATGTCAAACAAAAGGCCAAGATGTCTCAGTTCCAACGATCGATCGAAACCACGCAACGAGATCTCAGCTTCCCGGCACATCACTCGAGTATTGAGGATCTGCAGTTGAAGCGCCAGCGACTCAAAGTCTGCTGCGAGTCTGGCGCTCGAAAAAGGGAAAGTGGTGTCCAAACGCCAACATCCCATCCCACTGTCGACAAAGGCATGAAAAAGGACAGCCGATGGCATCCATCCTGGATACACCCAAGATAGATATGACTGGATGCTTTTTTGCTTGGGGTGAAAAGCCGTTCTGTCTTTCGATCGCTGCGCCTGCCTATCCAATCGATCAAGACGCTCATGGATGCCGATGGGGCTTTGCTGAGCGCCCTGACATCATTCACAGCGGAGAGACTCGACTGGCTTTGGCTGTCTCACATTTGGCCAAGATATACACATAATACACATACACATATAGATTTACATTTACATTGATGTCCTACTCTGCAAATTCTTCATCTACTTTATCAAAATTGATCTCAAAAACGGCTTTTGATCTTCTAGCCTCCGAACTGCGAGGCTGCTCCTTCTTTGGAAGTATGACCTCACAACATACAATGGAGCAAGGATCTATTTAAGAAACCAGGAGTTGTGAGGAAATTCACACAAACTGCATAAAGCGTGCACATGTCCTTAATGCAAAAGGCTTCATAAGAGCATGTCGCACTTCAACAAGCCAGTGTCAACCACGAGCCTCTAGAGTTTTGGAAGTAGAGCTTTCACTCACCTGCAAATGTCCCTGATGAAAGCTCTCCTGCAAGACTGGCATCAAACCATCACGCAAGACTTGTTGGGATTCGGATCACCGGGGATACTCGTTCTTCGGCTGCCTTCGTCTGTTCTTGCTGAAAGAAACCGAGGCAACAAAAGGCACTTCACGACCGCCAGACCGCTGCCACTCCTCCAAGTCTGGGGCGCCAAGGACCGCCAGAACCTGCAACCGCTTTTGGACTCGGTTCCGACGCGCTGTCTTCCCGTGTGCGGGACACCGAGGAAAGCTGGACGTGAAACTTACTGTACCGAACTTCCCGTTATGGAGTCAACCCAAAAGCTTGTGAGACTCAAGTAGATGTCAAACAATCCCGTGCTTGCTCTGCTCTTCCCCTGTCCTCTGGAAACCACTTGGCCAGGTTTGCCGCCTTCGGGCCTCACTCGGTTCGACCGGTCGATGGTCCCGTCACCGGTCACGTGCCCCCGGAGAGCGCGCCGTCGTGCTGACCGGGTCAGTGTGAGAAACGAGGCCAGCACGGAGGGCTGGAGGAAAGCTGGAAAAGCTCCTGAGAAGCATCTGCGAGCAATAGAAGTTCCACCAACTGGGGCGGTTCACCAGGGCTGAACCGATGAGTTTTCTTGACCTCAAGTACCTGGAATGCTGCAGTGCTTGGAGCTCTTGGACCATAAGTTTTGTGGGGACCCTTTGACTTGAACTCAAGATCGAGATTGGACATATCTGTGTATCCATTTTGCCACAAGCAGCGGTGAGTTCTCAATGCACTCAAACCCTCTAGAAAGTTTCACACTGTTTTGACTGCCGTTTCATGGGACGAATTTGCACTGCAAGCTTGACTGTTTGAGTGCTTGAACCAAAATCGCTGAGTTTTGAGTTCACGGAAAGCGACTTTAAACCACAGGACTCATTGCGGTACTCTTCCTGGAATCCAGATGCCATTCCCCTTGATGTTTTCCAGTGCCCTTTTATGAAATGATCCATTCAACCAAAGAAAACACAAATTTTGCCAACATCTGACACTGTGTGGTCAATTGTTTCATTTTTGCAAAATCCGTGGCTCAACGAGTTAGCCGCAAGTCGTTCCTTGCAGTCTACTGGCCAAGCACTGGAGATCAAAAAACGAGATGTCTTTCAACTTATCAAATTATGTATGTATATATATATATATTCTAACCGTTCATTCGAGTTTGACTCTTCCAGATGAGTGTTCACTACAAAGTATGTCTCATCATCCCAGCTTTTGTCGGTGGCAAGGAAAAACAACACGACCCACCGCGAAATGACCCTCTGAGAACACCGGCTCCATCCGGCACCTGGCAAAGAAAGGCTTGCAAACATCCAAAACAATTGTTCAGCTCAACAAATGAACTATATACTATACATAATAACCTGCAAGCGAGATTCTCAATCTTGATCTAGCCCGGCGAAGAAAAAACTGATGTACACATACAATTCGTCGCATCATTGTTAGAATGTCAGCCACGGAAAAAGTGCCAAGTTCTATAGGCATGTTCATTTTCATGGATCCAAGAAACCCTGTCGACGATCTTTCCACCTGCGCCTCACAGCATCAACGCCCGAAGCATCGCCAACAAAAAATCCAAAAGTTTCTCACATTTGCCTTTTTTGGTGCCACCCCACATGCCGTATGTTTGGTTGCTTTCAGTTCAGGTGCATGATGCGTTGCAGCAAATTCAAAGCTCCCATGGATGCTCTTGAGATCATAGAGGCGGCAGCAATAGGCTGCAAAATGATCACATGAAATCTGAGTGCAAAACAGGAAAACAATCATTGTGTCCAACAGACCATCATCACCCTTCGTCACACAACCGCCCTGCTCTTAAAAACGTAGCAAAAAAAACGAAAACCTGATAATTCTGGAAACGAGACGTTGGCCCAACTCAGTGATCAGAAAAAAAAGTTTAAAAAATAAATCTATACACTTCCCGATTTGTGCACATCATGGACACCATGCATACCCTGTGCTCTCATCTGACAACCTGCGTTGGAGTGCGGATGTCCACCAAGCATTGTAGCAAACAAACATGCACCACGTGCAAGGATCAGAAAAAAAAAAGATCTGCAAGCTTGATTGAATTCTTTTTCGCCACACAGGGCCTCGCAGTTCAAGAAAATATTCACAGGTTGTGGAGAACAAGTGCTCGCGGCGCTGGAAAACATGAAAAAAAACGGGGTGGAAAACTCGCCCAGTCACAAAAATTTGCCGACAAAACGTTTTGGGTCCGTTTCTGGACCCCAAAACGGGGGCTGTTTTTCGGCAGTGGCGACACAAGGTCTTGGTGTCCGCGAAGGCTTGGCCTCGTCCAAACTTTTCCTTTGGGAATCATGGAGATTTTTGGAGATGGGTTTTTGGCAAAATCCTGTTTCTGTCAAGATGTGGTTCAATGTGAACGTCCATTTTTCTTGTCAGTGTGCGTGTGTGGTTCCAGTAGTGAGCAGTTGCTTGCCCGAAGAAGCTCTTTCTGAGCAAAGCCATGTTATGTGTGAATGTGAACTGTGAACTGACTCTTGTCGTTCGAACCAGTTCGAACTTTTCATTTTTGTGACCTTTGAAGCTCAGTTGTTCAGTGCAAGGTGAAAACAAGTTTGAACAATTGAAGGCAACTGAAGCTTGTCTGAAAAGGTTTAGTACAATTGGAAATGGTTTTGTGCAGGAGTTGTTGCGACCATTGCATGTTTGCTCAAACGTGCGGCAGAAAACACGCGGTGCAAGTGTCTTTATTTTGTTCGGTTTGGTCGTCGTGTGCGCACTTGAACGGAAAGATCGTTTTTTACGTTGAGAGTTTGCGAGAAAGGTTTTTTCGTTGGTGTTTGTGTGTCAAAAAATGTGTGTGTGACTGAGGTATGCACAAAGGCTTGAATTGAAGCAGGCAAGCTGTGTGTTGCCTGCAGGACTCAGTCCTATTGTGTCAGAAGAGTTTCCTAAAAAAAAATTTGAAAAGGACGCAGGAGCGGAGAGGGATAAAAACAGTTCAAGCCCGAAAATCAGCTCGTTCATGGGTGAAGGGGAAGGAGAATGGCACGAGAATGTCGAGATGGATGAAGAAGAGGATGAGATTCACGCTGAGCATCGACATGAAGAGAGGTTCAACCATAATCACTGCACATGGTTTCACAGCAGGATGATGCACCACATGACTGAAAGTTGGAACAAGTTCCACACTTGAAGTTGGAAAGCTAAAGTTGAAATATGGACAACAGCATGCCTGCCACGAGACTGCCGGCCGAGAGAGCATTTCAGGCGGTTCGGTGAAGACAGTGAACCACGGTAAAAATGCAAACACTTTTTTCCGAAGCTCCACGACTTCGCTGTTGCCCCTTTTTTAGCACGAGTCGAGCCGCCATTCATGCAGGAAGTGCACAGGTCAGCTTGTGCAATTTTTGTAGAGTCTCCATCATGAAGGGGGCCAAACAAAACAGCGCCCCAAAACAAAAACAAAACCGACAAACAGAAACACAAGGTTGGAGACTCTTGGATGTACATGCAAGGGTGAAACAGAAGGGTGAAACATAAATTGGGCAATGAATTACTGCAAAAGGCCACAAGATGGGCAGTCCGAAGTGCGGTTCGAAATGATTGCTGACACCACTTGGTCTATAGGCCTGTTTAAACAGGCCATCACACCGAGCACTGTGAAGATGTGCTCTCCGTACTCATATTGCATAGCACTTGAAGAGGCACGGGCAATCTGGTCGAACAAACTGTGGGTAACTGCGCTTGGTGCATTGTGTGGTCATTTGACATGTGCATATGCCCCCATCCCTCATGATTTTTGGCCCGGAAAGCCACTAGTGACAAAAAGCAGCTCTAACACGCCAAACGAGAGGGCAATTCATTGCCACCAGTGCGGCCTGTCGTTTTTGTTCAGTGTGTTGTTTTTTTCCACGAGTGCGGACGCCGTGTGGGCGGTGTGCCCAGGTCATCATGAGAAGTATGGAAACACTGCAAATCGGTGGGGGGAGAAACAAGAACAAAAACAACCCAAACCCCAAAAAGAACCGAAACAAAAAACACCACCAAAGACCCCCAAGCCAATGTAGGCAGTGTTTCCTCTGTACTAAGGTGAGACAGGTGAAAGTTGACGAGATTCAAACTACCTAAGGGCCTGAATTCACTACGAAAGGCAAAATGTTTCTGGACGTGGGCCGTTGTTCTGATCGGCCAATCAAAGGTGGCCATTTTCCATTGGCAAGGATGAGATCATCCCAGCCACCTTTGGTCACTGGCACTTGAGTTATCTTGACATCTTGCAAGGTGCCAGGTGTAATGGCTGCAGTAAAGGGATTGTCTTGGCCACTAAGTCACACCTTTTGACAGCTGAAGCTTCTTGCCTGCAGGACGGGGCCCACCTCCCTGGCCACACGGCCAAGCATGGGCTCTTGTTTGGCTACGCCCTGGACGCAGTTCAAACACCAGAATGGCTGGTCATCCCAGAAGGGCAACAGTCAGGCCCGAAGGTGCAGCGTAGGATGCTCCAAACGGTACCAACCAAGGTCAGGCGCAGAGACGAGTAGAAAGGCACAGGACTACAGTTTTGACGCACTGCAACGAATTTATTTTTAGATGCTTGGCGACCAGAGCCGGTACTGGATGCGCCGGGGTTGGAACTTGTCCTACCCTGAGGCCGGTCTCTTGGTTCACAGCTGTTACTGGCCCCAACAGCAAAATGTTGATGACATCCTCTCAGTGTCAGATGTGGAAATGGAAGCTGCTGAGAACCCACCCTCCACCACCTTCACCAGAGACAACAGATGCCATATCTCAGTCACTAGTTCCGCCCCAGACCCAAAAGCTGGCACTGATTCCCCCATGGGTGAAGGAGATGACGATGCCACTGTTCACGAGGAAGATTTTTTTTTACACGAGCGCGGACGCCATGTGGGCGGTGTGCCCAGGTCATCATAGAAGGATAGGAAACACTACATAATGATGGGAAAAGAACACAAGCAAGACCACAACCGAAACCCCAAAGCAACCCAAAAGGCAAACCAGGACCCAAAAAGGAAACAACGCCAGCGACCCATCAAAAAGGTAGTGTTTCCTCTGTACGGAGGTGAGACAGGTGAAAATGGATTCTGCAAAATTCCTAGGGGCCTGAATTCGCTACGAAAAGGCAAAATGCATTTGTTCATGAATGTTTACTTTGGGAGGCCAATCAAATGTGGCCTTTTGCTGTTGGCAAGGGGGAAGTCGCCCTAGCCACTTTGGTGCGTGGCACTCGGAGTATTTCGACTATCTACGAAGTGCCAAAAAACAGTCATCAGCATACAGGCTCCGGCCAAGGAGTCCGAAGTTGCAAGGCATGGCAAGCCGTGGAAAATTCCCTCTTCGTACCACAACCTATACAACCGATTGCATATCCGAAGTGCAGAGGCTAATCGTGAGTGTGGCAGTAGGAGGCATCGCAACGACAAGACTGCTGACAAGGTGTTGTGTCTCCTCCCGCAAGGGAGGTAGCACTTGCATCCCCCCTGGCTCCCTCTCGCATGCCAAGGGGGTATTGGTTATCAGTTGACGTGCATAAAAGACACTCTCTTGCTACTTGCATGGCCCATGTGAAACAGGTGAAACAGAAGACCTACCCTAGCATGGTACTTATGCCATCTTTGTACAAGATTGGCTATGGTTTGGCTGCCGCAGATGAGCAACTAAGGTTCTCCCTGGGCGCCTTCCATCAACCACTCTGCTACCACCCGCCTGCCAGGGACGAGGAGCTAAGGCTCTCATCCCGGTGGGCTCACAAAATTGCAGGTGTTGAGGACGTAGTAATGACTCTGTTTGGTCATCGAAACGCAGGAGAAGTGCTCGTGGCTCAGACCCAGTGTAGCTACGCAGGAGTTATCCCTAGCACACTGCTTCAGTGAAGTCTTCTCTCCACTTGTCTTTGTCATTTGGCGGCAGGAAGCGAAGCCACTTAGGCTTGTCTAGGTGCTCACATTTGTCAAAGGCATTGACACGGGCGTACGTCCCCCTCCAAGTCGTGCTTTTCCCACTCTTGCAGAACGCGCGAAGCTGCGTGCAACCAGCAAAGGCACGCCTCGCTATGTATAGCAGGGATGGTGGAATGTTGACCTCGCGGAGTGAGGCACACCGTAGGAATGCTTCTTGCTCTATCCTTCGCAAGTTTCGAGAGAGTCTGAGCTGTTGTAATTGCGGACAGTGCGCAAAGGTAGAGCCCAGTATCTCAGGAATGTCCGGTCGGGACAGGTCAACAATCTGAAGCTGTTGGCAACGTTCACAGGCTGCTCGCCCAACCCAATTAAAATCTGACGGCAGCGAGATTGAGACGATGCCTGCTTCCAAGAAACAGCATTCAGGCAAGCATCGGTTGGGGTTAGTGGGGTCATTCTCTGTCCTTTCCAGGTTGAGGTGACGCAAGGCTGTACATTTTTCAAAGGCTCGAGGCCGGAGTTGTGCTTGCGGGGCTAACTGGTTACTAGTGTGATTAGTTGCCCCGATTTTCGTTAGAGAGCAGCATGCCTCAAAGACCTTGATACCGAATTGCCTGCACCCAGGGGCCATTGCTGCACGAAGCTGGTAGCATCGACGGAACGCTCCACGCTGCAAACGGACGACTGTATCTGGCAGG